TTAAAATGAAATAAAGTTCTAACATATTTCTATATTCTGTTTAGCAATAGGTATAAAATGGCTAGGTTAATTTGGCTTCTGTAGTGACTGAGTTTATAAGGTTTAGGTGAACATTTTTTCCTACAAATAATTAAATATTATGAATAGTTGGTGCAAAATTATTTACTGGAAAGGACAGAGACCTTTGGGAGCTGTTTTTCCTTTTGGAAACACTAAGAAATGCTACAATTCTGGAAGCCAGAGAGACCTGTGAGCTTGAAAGTTCTGGATGCTTCCCCAAAAGGGACACATAAAAATAACTGCAATTTCCTTTGATCATTTCTAGGAAGAAAAAATAAGGTATTTCTTGCAAAAAAAAGTTCCCGAACAAAGGCTATTTTTCCTGTTCCAGGGAGATGTACCAGAGGACAGTCTGTGAGAACCTTCCAAAATTGCACACTCGCTGCCACTGAGTTGATGCCGCCACACAGTGACCCTGTAGGACAGGCTGAACTGCCCCTGTGAGTGGCCGACACTGTAACTCTTTACAGGAGCATCCAGACTGTCTCCTGCGGAGCAGCTGGTGGTTTCAAACTGCTGACCTCGAGACTAGCAGCCAAACTTATAACCACTACACCACCAGGGCTACCTGATATTCACTGATCAACACATCTTGAAGTATTTTCAGTAAGACTCCTCACTTCCTCGGTGACTCACACACACACCAGTAATAGTAGATGAGTGTAAATCATCAAAAGATGTAACAAGGGGCACTGACTACAGCACAGCTTTGATGGCAAATGGCTGCAGATCATCTAACTACTTATCAATAGAACACTGGCTGCCGTGTGCATATCCAGACAGCGACGTCTCACTTGGCCATTTGAAAGAAGAAAGTGGATTTATAGGTGTGGACATCCAAACCCCAAACCCAACCTCACTGCTGCCGAGTCAATTCTGTCTTACAGCCAACGGACACAGGGCTTCAAAGCTGTAAGTTTTTACGGGTGCAGACAGCCCCCGCTTTCTCTCCCTGAGCTCTTGGGGAGTTCAAACCACCGGCCTTTGTGCTTAGCAATCCAAAGCTTATCCAAAAGAGCCAACAGGGCTGACTTCTCTACATGGAGCACAAACGCAGGAACAATGTTGCTATGGGCTACCTTTGGGAAAAGATCATACTTGAGTATTTTACTCCCTATCCACTCGGCAGATTATTATGCAATGGCTTTTTGAAATCCTTCCCAATGTGTTTTCTCTATGTACGTTAAAAAAAAAAATTTTTTTTTTAAGTCCCCAAACCACTAAACCCAGCCCCTGAAGGTATCCTGGGATGGGGCAGGGCTGGCCTTTGTATCCTTCGCTGTTTGCCTTCTGAAAATGCTATCTTTCATCTCTCTGAAAATAGGAACTAACAAGATGGTGGGGAAATGCAATCGCCTTTATCTTATACTTCTGTAAAATAAAGCTCCTTTCTATCTCACACACCCACAGCTCAAAAAAAACATTTATTTCCCACAAGTGCATAAGGAATTCTCGACAGAAAGTGTTCTGGCACCATTGAGGCTGACCTGCAAACAAACAGTCTGTTAAATGTATCAAAACAGGGGTCGGGTCACTGTGACATTATTTGTCTTCTGTCAAATACATCACCTCAAAACCCCGACTCTTCCTCCATCGCCACCACGGACTGGCAATTCCAGTTTCTTTTCCCACAAATGATTGCTTTGCTTTTCCTTCCTTCAATCCATGAGAACTTCCAGGCTCTCAAGTTTCCCACCAGAACCCCCTCTGGGGGGTCACCTTCTCCAAACACCAGCAGGTTCCTGCTGCGGGTGTGGAGGGAATCAGGGGGTACCTTTCTACTGACGCTCAGGGTCAGCCAATCATGACCGCTACAGTATAGAAACGTGCTGTGAATCACAGGCACACTCAAATTGTGAATCAAAAATGCAGTCCTAGATGTCTGAACTCTTTAAAATAGCAGAGCAAATTTCTCAACAACATCCCGATAGGTATTCGAGGGAGAAGGAGCGCTTGTGGTAGAGTGGCTACAAGGTTCAGCTGCTAACCCAAAGGGCAGCTGTTTGAATGCACCAGCTGCTGGGCAGGAGAAAGGTTGATTCTTCATGATCAATAATATAGCAACAGCAAGTGTAGTTTCATACTAAAGACAAATTTTTTATATACCCCAAGGTGCAGAATCAACCACATATGGGACTCACAGTGACCCTAAAGGAAGAGTAGAATGGTCCCCCAGGGTTGCCAAGGCTGTAATCTTTTCTAATATGGGACAGTTCTACACTGTTCTATAGGATCTTGAGTCAGCATTGGCTCCATAGCAGGTTTTTAAAAAATTATTTTATTGGGGACTCTTACAGTTCTTATTAACATTCCATACATCAATTGTATGAAGTATAGTTGTGCATATGTTGCCTTCATCATTTCCAAAACATTTTCTTTCTACTTGAGCCCTTGGTATCACCTCCTCTGATAGTAGATTTTTTATTCTAGAAACACATTGATATGGCTAGCAAGTCCAATTCCAGATATGGTAGAAGTAGAAGAAAACACTATAAAACATAAGTATTAACTCGTGACCACGGGCTTGAATGTCATGCTTGGCTTTCTGCTTACGTTTTGTAAAGTTTCTCTAATGAACATATACAGTAAAAACCAGGGAAAGCCTGAGCCTGGGTAAAGTAGAAACCTGTCAAGAAAGAAAACTCAACGATTTCACCCTGGATGAGCAATGAAGAAGGTAAGGCCTATGAACCACAGTCTCCACTACCCTGAGACCAGAAGAACTAGATGGGGCCCAGCTACCTCTGCCAAACCACTCTGATTGTTGTTTCAGTAGAAGAATCGAAGGTTAAAAAAAGAGTGACAACAAAATCCAAAAACATAAAAAAGACCAGACTTATTAGAGACAAATGGAATCCCCAAGACTGTGACCCTTGGACACCCTTCAAGCCTGAACTGAATCCATCCCAGGGGACCAACTTTCAGTAAAGCAGCTGACAGGCCTATAAACTAAGCCGTAATACCAGGGAGGAGCTAGCAACCACAAGAGAGCCAATAGGCAGCGTCTGACCCAAAACAAATCTCAGAAGGCTAGAAAGGAGCCAGAAAAAAAAAGGCTGAATGGAAACAGGGAACCCAGGGAGGGTGCAGGAAGAGCAGTGCTGCATCTAGGATTTGGGGTCATGACACAAAATGGATATAAACTGTTGAATGGAAAACTAATTTGTTCTGTAAACTTTTGCCTAAAGCACAGTAAAAAAAAGTTTTTAAAAATAGTAAGAGTGTACACCTTGTCAAAGACAGAAAACTTCCAAGAACTGGAAAAACAAGGTAATCTTGTTGCATTCTGACTTTGAGGTTTCACAGTATAAGCTATGTCACCGATTAGAAAAATGATCTAAAAGAAAAATTACTGGTTAAGACCCACATGAAGTTGATAAATTAGATGATGAGAAAACAGCTCTGCTATCTCCATCACATTCACTTACGAAACTTTCAGAACACCACTGGCATCTTGGAAATGCGAAATAATCCCTCCCCTGGGACAGCTTCCCAGAGTCCCCGAGCCACGTTAATTGCTCATTCTCCCATATTCCCCCAGCACTTGGCTCTCCACCACTACCATCCCACACATTTCATTTCTATATGGAAACACTTCATTGAGGCATCTTCTGTCCCCACTCAGCGGCAAACTTCTCCATGGCCAAGAGAATAATGTGTTCATTTTTGTGGTCCCAACACAGTGCCTGAAATAATAGCAGTTTCTGAGTTTCTTGAGCCAATCCCTGGGAGGGGCAGTGGTCATTAATTGCATTATAAGTCAAGGAGCCATCTTCCTTGAGGGCCTGGAGGCTCTCGTGGGTTGAAGGGAAGAAAGGCAGGTGCTCGGTGTGGGAAAGCAGCTGGGACGGCCCTTCGGGTGGTGATGGAAGCAGTGCTCCGGTTTGGAGGGACACCCTCTGTGTTCTCCTCCCTCAAGTACTTCATTGAGCACCGGTGATAACTGGGTACCTCCTGAAATGCACCCAGATGTCCCTCAAGTCAAAGGAACTAAATTCTCATGTGACTAGGAGGATGATCTCCCTGCCCACTCCCTGCCGCCGCCACCCCGCCCCAACTCCCAATGTCACCATGACAACGCAGACAACAAGCATGTGGGTGGCAGCAGTCAGGAGATACCAGGGGCTGGCAGTATATGAAGGAGATCTGAAAAATAAGACCAAGTCAGAGGCAGGAGAGCCTCTGTTTTGGAATGAAAAGGAAGACACCCCCTTTGAACAGGAAAGGCCTCTAAGTCAATGGCAAATGTTGTACCAGTGGGGGGTGGGCGCCAGGGGATTCACTGCCTTCTCCCTGTCACATGAATATTCTTTTGTGTGACTCCATGCAACATCTTCAGGCCATTTCCCTTTGTTCATGTCTTTATTAAACATGCTGTAGGGTTCCACTATGCTTGAGAAGTTATTGGGTTGGAGTGGACGGTTGGGGGGAAGACGTCAGAGGCTCCACCTCAAGGGGTTGCTTGGCTGGTGTCGTGAGGGAAACGACACAATGGGAGCCTCTACTTCCTGCAAAAGGGTCCCCGTTTGATAGGAAGCCAGTTCCCAATTTCCCAGAGAAATAAGGAAAACCTCAGGACCCTCCTGTGAGGGTCTATCTTTTTGTGGAGATGTACATATAAAGGCCCCCAAACCTCTGTTATCTCAGCAATGGAATGGGGGCAGTGTGCAAGGAAAGTGATCGGAAAAGGCAGCCAGCCAGCTCGGGCAGAATCAGCGCTCCCTCTCCTTTGCTTCCCACTCTCGGTTGCGCATGCCGTCTTACCTAGAGAACTGTGTGCCAGATCTCATGTGTGGAATCCCACAGAGTTAAAATAAAATTAAAGTATGAGTCAGCTCGGCTCTGGCAATGAAGCCGTATCTTATTGCAAACCCACCCCAGGGTAGGAGCCCACATGCTGGATTCCGTGAACACTGGGAGTCCTCCCTCCATCTGCTTACCACGTGTGTTGGTAGCCATGTCAGCCACTTTCTGAAAGGCATCCAGGAAGGCAGCTGCTGCTACTACTGTTGTCCTAAAAATGCAAACAGATAACAAAAGCATGAGGAATGTCTCACACTAGCAAATTCACTGCAGCAGCAAGGCAAAAAAAAGGGCTGAGGGCCTCTGCTAAGGGACAGAATGGAAACTTCTGGAGAAATAACTCAATTGAGTTTGGACAGCTTCCTGGCCCCATTTTTCCTTAGGAAGCAAGTTGTCTTTCTAAGAGGAGAGCTCCACCCCAGAGTGTCTGTCCGGCTGGCTCTGCTAATTCAGCAAACATCACTTGATCTCCCCACGCCATTTCACTTGGTTGTTTCAACGTAGCACCATTTTGACCACCGGGAAGGAGACAAGTGTTGCTACCCAAATGAGAAACTGAAACGCGAGAGTCGAAATTCATTCTAGAGTAGGAAAACAATAGATGAGGGGGCTTCGAAAAGTCCATGGAAAGATCCAGCAACCTTTCTGACGTCATTTTTCCACCAACTTTTTTGAGGGTCCCCTTGGGCAGATACATGGGTGGGGGAAGGGGTCTTGGAGAGAATTCATCTTGGTCAAACATCTTTTGAGAGGGAAGAATCGAGATTACAAAATGCTCCCTGACCTTCAAGATCAACTTGACCTTCAAGATCAACCTTTCAGACAGAGCTGGAACTAGTACAATTTCTTGGCTGATATACTCTAAGACTTCTTAGTCTTTTCCACAATTCTCCTTGTATCCCTTCTTTAATATAGAACATGGGGCTGTGCACGATGGCCTGATGAAGCTGGCCGTGTTATCATTTCATCACTTGACGAAATACTAATCCAAAAGCTCCCCGCCTCCGTAGACCTAGATGTTAGAAATACAAGTATACAGTACTTTGTACCAATGAGCAAAGATTACTTCAAGTTGTACTTCGTCTGTATATGAAGACAGAGAGCCAGTCCATTTTATTGAGGTTTCCCATCTCATTTGTCAAAGGAGAACTGAGTTCTCAGCCCATCCTGAAAGCCTGCCATTACACGAGGCCAAAGAAGAAAAGGTGGGAGGGAAATGGACTGGCAGGTGACCATCCTCCAGGAGAGACAGTATGGTGAAGCTCTGTTTGAAGTCAATGGCCATGATGGCAGAAGGGGAGTGGGGGAGGGAGTTAGTGGTGGTGGGTGCCATGGAATCAATTCCTACTCACAGCGACCCCAGAGCTTCCCCATGGGTTTTTCTTGGCTGTGGTCTCTATGGAAACAGATCACCAGGTCTTTCTGCCAGGTAGCCAATGGGTGGCTTAGCACCATCAATCTTTGGGCTAGCAGTTGAGCACCTAACCATTGTTACCAGGGCTCCTTTGACGTGGCTAAATAAGGGAGCGTGGTAAAGGTCTTGAGAAGCCTGCGTGGTACAAATAATGAATGTTCTTTGCTACACCAAGAGAAAAGTTCAAGGCCACCTGGCCTGGGAAATGCGGTCTAGTGAGATACTTTGAAAAACCAGCCAGAACAGCTGCCCGCTGACACTCAAGGGATTGCCATTGAGTCAGAACCCAGCCCGTGGCACCCTGTCTTTCATGGCTGCCCCAGATAAGGAAGGGCCTTGCATTTTGATCAGAGGAGGTTAGGTATGGCCCAGCAACAAGCAAGGGTACATTGTCAAGCATGGAAAAGGTAAGGGACTGGACAAATGGACAAGGCAGCTGCATTCTAGAAACCCCCGGCCACCTGGAGCCCCTCCTTGCTGCTGGAGAAATCCCAGAGCAAGTTCAAGTTTTTGAGCAGCCTCGGGCCCTGAATCCGTCTCCCAGGATAGCAGGGACAAATCACCACACATAGCAAGGGTGGCTTTAAGCTGCAGGACAACTTCGGTTTCTCACAGTGTCCAGGTGCTAGAAGTCTGAAAGCTAGATGGACAGGCAGACCCATCCTCCCTCTGAAGGCTCTATCAGGGACCCTGGCATGCCTTTGTCCTAGCTTCTGCTTTGCCAGCAATCCTTGGCCATTCTTTGATGTGTGGCTGCATCACTTCAATGTCAGCCTGCCCGTCACAAGGCATTCTCCTTGTGGGTCTCTGCTTCTCTTATAAAAACACGACCTGTATTAAAGTGGAGTCCACCCTGGCGGCCTCAACCTAGCATGATTATAAATGCAAAGAACTTGTGTCCCAATTGTGCTGTCCAGGTGGGACAGGGGGGTTAGGAATGTACCCTTATCTTTTGGGAAGACGTAATTCTACCTGTAACAGATCCCCACCCCCCCACGAAGCTACAGGTATGGGAAAGGTAAGGTCCACTCTCCCAGGAAAACTCCTCTATTAACAAGAGGAGCCTTAGTGGTGCTAAAGTTTAGGCACGGGCTACAAATGATAAGATCAGCAGTTCAAACTCACCAGTGCACTGCAAGAGAAAGAGAAGGCAGTTTGCTCCCGTAAAGATTTATAGTTTTGGAAAGTGTACACAGGACTGCTATGAGTCAGAAGGGTCAGGCTTTATATCATGCTTGATAAAGCAGGGGGGTGATGAAAGAGGAAGACCCTCAACAAGATGGACTGACACTGTGTCTAAACAATGGGCTCAAGCAACAGAACAGCTGTGAGGCCGGCCCCGAGTTTTTGTTTTGTTCTGTTGCACAGAGGGCCACTATGAGTCGGAACGGACTTGATGGCACCTAACAACAACAACGAGAGTGAGAATTGATTCGGTGGCAGCGGGCTTCGTTGGCAATCTCTAAGGGACCAAGGACCTTCTGGTACCCTGGCTAAAATAAGCCCGGGTATCCAAAGACAGAGACTCAAGGTCAGGCTATCTCTCCTATGTCTCTCTCTGCCGTCCACATGGCTTTTCATTCTAGAAAACCCTCCTGGCTCGGATCTTGGACAAACTATCCTCCATCCATCCACCCACACCCCGGCACTACCCCCCACCCCCGAAGATGTCCTGAACTAAGATCATCAAAATAAGAGCTTTTTTAAGTGGGCTGCAAGGGCAAGGTCAGCAGTCTGAAACCACCAGCTGCTCCTCGGGAGGAAAGATGGGACTTCCTAGCTCCATGAAGAGCTAGTCTTGAAAACTCACAAGGGCAGTGTTACCCTGTCTACAGGGCCACTATGCGTCGGCCTCGATGGCAGAGAGTTTGCGGGTTGACAGAATGGCTTTCCCAGGAACTGCTGGACATTCCCTACTCCACAGCGAAGGATACACGACCAAGAATAAGACGCGGTTATAATGGCCTGCAGAGCAGCACAGGCTTTATCCGTCGGTGTTCTTTTACCAGCTTCATGGAGGTACAATTTGCAGACCATAATACTCACCCGTTTGGGGTGCACAATCCAGTGATTTTTAGGAAATGCACCGGGTTGTACGATCATGACCACAATCCAATTTGAGAACATTTCCTACCCCCTGGAAGCTATCCCTTGTGATCTATCCCCCCCAGGTGACCACAAATCCACAGCGGTCTGCATAGTTTGCCTCCTATACACGTCATATAAAGGAAACTATACCATAACCAGCGTTCTTTATACAGAGAGGCAGTAAACAGAATGGGGAAGAACATGGAATCCGGAGCTACACTGCCTGAGTTCAAATCCCCCCGTGCCATGTATCAGCTGTTGAGAGTTTGGGTACGTTATTTAGCTTCTTTGTGGCTGACTGTCCCCTTCAGTAAAATGGGATACTAACCACACTTACCTCTTGGGGTTGTGAGATTTAAATAAATGAACATCTGTCTGGTACAGAGTGATACCTAAATGTGGCTCTTCATTACCTCATTTGATGCTCAAATAGGCACCCAATACTACAGACAGTACCCGGGGGCCGGGACCAGTGGTTAATAAGTGCCGATGCCCAGTTTAAAACCATCTACCACTACATCCTTCTCTCCAGGTGGCACTTTCAGAAGAATCCAGTCTTCCATCCTGGGTCCACCCCACTTCATCCTGTGTCTAAGGATGCGGCTTCTTTATTTCCTTCCCCGGTAGGGGACCAGCCTCTACTTACCGGAGCTGGGACTGCAGTTTTCCCGCTTTGTTGATGAAGTCTTCCCAAACTGGGTAGCTCCCCTGCAACAGAACAAAGGCAACCCTAAGTCACACTGGGAGACAGCTGATGAAGGCATCCCCAGAAGACCCAACTCCAATCGCCCAGGAAGCGGTCTGTGTATGTCTCCTTTTGCAGTGTCGACGACACGCTGCCCAGACGAGATATAAGTTTAGTGGCTCAGTGACTGTGTGAAGAATGTGTTCCACCCGTGAAATCCTGCCAACACTGCAGGCACCGACAGGAGCTGGTGCGGCCAAACCACACACACTGCTGGGCCACCTTCTCACTCGAGAGATGGTGGGTCCAAATGCACGGGGTGCAGAACATCCAAGGCTCTGCTGCCACGTCCGGCTTCAGCTGCTGCCGCCACAGGGTCCTGAATGTTCTCACCCTTGTCTCCAGGGGCAGGAAGGGCACAACCAGAGGGACCAGGCTTCCTTCGAGGAACAGGGGTTATTAGAATCTCAAGGTTGGAAAGTTATCTAAATATAGCCACTCAGTTGATGTCGTGAGTCAACATCTACATACAACGCAGCAGGTGGGTCCCCAGCCAGCCGGCACTCTTTAGCTAATAAGGTGCCTGTCACCCTGCCTGGCAGTCTCTAACAGTCACCCGGACCTTTATGTCCATGTGATCCTAGTCCCAACCTTCCGATGACCCTTGGGGTTCAACCCGTCCTGCTTTCCAGGGGAAGTCTTTCCAAAGAACAAAGGATAGCTAGGGCGTTGGTCGTTTAGCAGCAGCATTCTCGCCTTCCATCCCGGGGACCTGGGTTGGATTCTCAGCCAATGCCCTTCATAAACTGTCACCACCAGGTGTCCCGGGAGGCTTGATTGCAAGCTGCTATGATATTGAACACGCTTCAGCTAAGCTTCCAGAGTAAGATGGACTAGAAGACCTAGCAATTGACTTCTGAAAAGCTGCCCCCCAAAAAACTCCTATGGACCACAAGGGTCTTATCTGTACCCCCTCCTGAGGCTGGTATGCATCTCATCCTGTTGTGCGTGAGGTCATCCTGGGTCAGGGGCTCCCTCGATGACAGCTAGCAGTGGCAAGAAAGGTAACTAACACGCTTATTATACCCTGCCGCCTACCTACCAGCAGATCCATTTCTACACAGGGCAATGCTTTCCATCTCCACTGGGCCCTAGAGGTTCCCCGCTGTGTCTCTGCTCTCCGTGTAAGCAGCATGCTCAGATCCAAACACCAAAGTGCAGGTGCAAATCTGACCAGATCAAACCAGGGGTCCATCTGACAACACCCCTTCCCACCGACATTCAGATCCAGCAGCCAATCAACCAAGAGTTGACTTGAAACAAATCCAGAGAAGGGGAAACCATGATCGGAGAAGTAGAGCTTGGTGATGGTGAAGCGCTCAGCCTCTAGCTAGGTCAGTAGTTCAAACCCACCAGCCGCTCAGAGGGAGGAAGATGTGACAGTCTGCTTCTATAAATATTCCCCCCAAATCAAAACAAAATAAATCAATACACTGGCTGCTATTGAATATTTAATAGAACTGAGCTGTGGGTTTCTGAAACTGTCAAGAAGCATTTCTGAGACGTTAACTCTTTAGGAGAGTAGAAAGCCTCATCTCTCTCCCTTGGAGTGGCTGGTGGTTTCAAACTGCTGACCTCATGGTTAGCAATGCAGCGAGAAACCCATTAGAGCAGTGATTCTCAACTTTCCTAATGCCACAACCCTTTAACACAGTTCCTCATGTTGTGGTGACCCACCTCCAACCATAAAATTATTTTTGTTGCTACTTCATAACTGTAATTTTGCTACTGTTATGCATCGGGCGACCCCTGTGAAAAGGGTCATTCAACCCCCCAAGGGGTCGTGACCCACAGGTTGAGAACCCCCTGCATTAGATCATCAAGGCTCGCAGCCTTGGAAATCCTAGGAGTAGTTCTGTTCTGTCCCACTGTGAGTCAGGGACAACTACTAGCTGGCAATGGGTGAGGCACTGAACCATCTAAACACAAAGCTGAGGCTAAACACTGGGGTATTCCACGTTACAAACCTTGACAAAGTGAAAAGAATACATGATGCTACCTCTTAGAGAAACTATCCCAAGGGCAATCACCTCATCTTTCATTCTAGAAGCTCCATCGAAACTGCCTATAAGGGCTTTCACCGCCCCTTCCCTCTACTACCCTCCAGGCGCTTTCTCAGCCTCAGCACCGCTGACCTTCTGGGACGGGGGTGCCTGCCACAGCTTCTGATGGTGTTTGATGGCACCCTGGCCTGCCTCCCCTGACTACACATCAGTAAGGTCCCCTTGTTCAGTGCCACTGCCAGATGAATTTACCTCATAGGGACCCCATGTGGCATAGGGACACCCCCCCCACCTGTTTTCTTGGGAGTTATCTTTATAGAAGTAGATTGCCAGGTCTTCCCCTACAGAGCCTCAGGGTGGGTTCACATTTTCAGTTAGGGTGGCACCAGCCTGGTGCAACGCCTATCATAAAGGGTCACCGGAGGAGTGAATTTCCTTTGGTGAAGAAGCAGTTAACTGAAGTCCAGTATGAGTACTTCAGTTGCATTTTCTTCTGCTAAAATAAAATTAATTACATTTTTAATTTGAAAATCATATGCACGGTCAGAACACACTGTTAGCAAATCGCCTGTTTACGTCTTTCTCTTGCTATCTATTCGATCTGAAAAGATGCACAGAGGTACCGGGAGAGCGGCATCTACCGCATATTAAAATGGGTTCCTTCTGGAAGTGAAGCTTTGGACCAAGCGCAGCTCTGCCTTCTTTGTACTTGCCTAGCATTGTGTTCCCTCCCTCTTTAATAAGGATCATGTCTCATTTTTATGAAAACAATAAAGTCATTACATAAAAAAATTTAAGATCGAATTAGAGGTTCTGGCAACAACAGTGCCCCGAGTTTACAATCTGCCTGAGCCTTGCCATCTGTTTTCCACATGCCACTCCACAGCGGCCATCCATTCTGCATGTGTGCTGTCGATGCCAGCCAGCCGGCCCACGCACATGCCTCTGAGTTGACTCCGCCAAGTGGTCATCCACTCCCATTGGACACTATGTGGCACCTGACATGCTAATCAACCATACAACCTATACACGGTCTTGTCACTATACTGCTGAGTCATGTGGTCACCATCCTGTGTGGGTGACCTGGGGGTTTCCTTCAACCCACGAGCAAAACTCATCTATTAAATGAGATCTTGCTAGACCTCACAGATCCTGGGTGGCACCAAGAGTTAAACGTGGGATTGCTTAAGAAGGAAAAAAAGACTAGTGATTCGAACCCACCCAGTGGCACAATGGAAGAAAAGCTTAGTGACTCTTTTCCAAACAGTCCTTCAAGTGCAGCTAGCTCGACTCTGACACATGTGGGGTCCCCGTGGTTTAGAAGAAACTCCACAGCAGCAACCGGCTGGATCTGGGTTTTGCAATACCTGGGGCTACCATGACAGCCCCAAGACATAGCAGCAATTCCAGGGATCACACCCAGTATATTAACCACTTTTTTGTCAAACCCTGATATCAACAGTCCTTCTACATCTACAGCCAAGTAATTAAAGAGATAAGACCTGAAGTTGGGGTGCCTGGCTGGCCATCAGAGAGGTCTGTCCAGCTGGATGGTAGTTAGCATGCTTATGAACTCGACATTTCAACCACGTACCTCCTCCCCTCGCCACCTCTTCCCTTCCTGATTCATGCTACTGTAACGAACTCTTTGAAAAGCCTGAGACAACTTGGAGGCACGGCCAACCCAATTCTAGCCCAGACACCACCAGACTATAGATGGTAATGGTAAAATAGGAAGCACAATAAATATGTAAATGATAGAATGATGAAAATGTCATTGCTATTCTCAACAACGCCAATTACTAAACCATGAATGAATGAAGGATAGCAGTTAGCAAAAAACAAATCCCAGTGTCCAAGGGTTTAGCTTGTGTCCTAGCTCTACCGTTGGCTCTATGACATTCAACAAGTCACTCAAGCGCTGCAGGAGCACAGGTCCCCACTGCACAGCGCTAGATGAGGACAGGCACACACGAGGCTCACACTGCCTGAGCACTGTAAGTACTCAATAAACATCCGGCATGGCTGATTGATTCAAAGAGCGGCAGATGCTGAGTGATCTCACTAAGGATAGTAGGCGAGGTCTTCTCTAAGTTAGACTATACCCCACAGCTGGGATCCCTTAATCTTAGTGGTGATTCAGCAGAATTCTTCCTTTCCATGCAGGAGGGCCGGGTTCAATACCTGGCCAATGCAATTCTAGCCCATGGGTAGCTAACACTCCCATGCAGGTCATTCTTTGTGTGGTGCTATGATGGGGAACAGATTTCAACAGGGGCAGGGTAAGGCAGACCAGGGGAAAAGGCCTGGTGATCTGAAATTAACCAAGGAAAACCCTATGGATCACAAGAGTCCGATCCTGAACTGATCCCAGAATGACGCAGGGCAGGCAGCACTTCATTTCCAGCCCCACTGTGCAGGAGGTCACCAGGAGCCCGCGGTCAACTCAAGGGCAGCTCATCATATGCGCAGAACCAGCTGACACGGGAAGCACTGTATGCCTCACCATTAGTTGACCATAGGAGACCATTGTGGCATAATGGTTACATGTTGGGCTGATAACCCCAAGGTCAGCAGTTTGAAACCATCAGCCACTTCTTGAGAGAAAGACAGCACTTTCTACTCTTGGAAAGAGGTACAATCTCAGAAACCCACAGGGACAGTTCTACCCTGTTCTTGGTATGAGTCGGCACTGACTCAGTGGCAGTGAGTTTGCTTTCATTAATTGACCAAAGAGCAGTGGTGGCGCAGTGGTTAAGTACTTGGCTGCTACCGAAAGGTTGGTGGCTCAAACTCACTAGCTTCTCTGCATGAGAAAGATGTGGTAGATTGCTTTCAGAAAGACAGCAGCCTTGAAAACCCAACAGGCAGTTCTATTCTGTTCTGTAGGCTCAGAAAACCCCAGGGGGCAGTTCTACTCTGCCCTGCAGCATCACTAAGAGTTGGAATCAACTGGACTG